CAATGACCTGAGCCAAGTGCCCCAACCGCCTCTCGAAGAGCGACCGCAAGTCTAGTCACATATGCCTTGATGTCATCCTCGGAGATAATTAGTTCTATGTCCATCTCGTTGACGTATGTCTTGAGAAACGAAAGCAGGAGATGTATCCATTCGCGGTCATGCGGCCTACCGAGGTCGGCGTGTGTACCAATCGCCCGCGAAAGCATGAACGACTCGAGGGACGTCCACATATGAGGAGCGTAGTGTGCTGGTAGGGATGAGAATATTGTGAGTGCGTTTGAGAGTCTTCCGCGGTGTCTGCGCATTGAGCGCTCAGCACCGAAGGCGACAAAAACCATGAAAACAAACCTACATGTCCAGAGCGGCGAGGCTACCATGTAGTTTGAGAGCAAACTTTCGTCGCCCCGCTTTCACATACATGTCAATGGCACGATTGGAAATGGTTGTGTATAAGTCGTAGAAGGCTTCGCTCTCTCCAACGGCAAGCGTAATCTCGTGATTACTTATGCGGTGGGCTGAAGACCTCTTGTCCGACATGAGTGGCGAATACGAAACAGTGGCCGCAGCCGGTATCGCCAGGGTGAATGGCTGCTTCGAGGGTAAGTGTCCAGCTCTGACGCCGAGGATATCGAGCTGCACGTTGAATCAGCGATATGACATGCCCTCGGCGGCGGGAACACGGACCTGGCTTTTTGCAAGCTCGATCAACTCTCCCTTACCTGCGCTGTAACGTGCGAGGCGTACACCCTCCATTTCCGGCATTGACGAGACCCACGTGTCACACTGGTCAACGACGCTGAGGGCAGAAGAGAATGTCCAGGACTCGATAAAATATTCTGGGAGCGAGGGCTACAAAATCGTATGAGCTTTGTGGTGTAAGATACATCGATACACGCTCTAACCTCAACCTCCCTCAATCGTCTTCCGAACGTACTCAAAAACATGATTGCCTTACGGCAGATCTCTGCCAGTTGGTGCATCTTGTTTAGCAATACGGTTTGTCTTGCTAGCAGATATATCCGGAGGTCGAAAACAGATATTGTGCTGGTAAGGATAAGGTCGCGATAAGGCTTCTTGGAGACGGATAAGAGTGGCAACGAATCGTCCTTGGGTGCTGGGTGGATAAGACTCCCAAACCACGACATATTTTTCTCCCTCAGAACCTGCATGAAAGCCGCTTCGAGTTCGCTGTACTGCTGCAACGCATCCTCGAAGAGATTGATTCCTTCATAAGAGTTTGCCAGACTCTCCTAGACACAACAATCTTTATTGAAGCATCACGGACAAATTAATCTCACAACTTACCTTCAATATAAAATACGTGCAAAAATTCCATCCCGGCATATGTCGTTGGCCCTCCGATCGCTTGACTTCCTCCTCTCTCGATGACACAGCAACATCGAGGGCAGAAAGTAGTCCGTCCTTGATCTTGGTTATGAGGTCGGCCCAAACAGCGGGACTCTGCTCGCCAGCGGACCAGGCTAGCTGCACGCACCTAAAAGGCGTGGTTGACAAACATGTAGGATTCAGAGTAACGCATGCTAGTACCTATCTCGCTTCTCGACGTTGAAATCTGCTTTTATCTTGTCCAGCACGGAGCCCTTCATGTTGAAAAACTTGCGGTCCACTATTTTTGTGTCTGGCCGCACGACATGCACGATCAACCACTCCTGGGTCTTCCGTGACATGAGGGATGTCTGCCAGTCCTTGATCTGCTTCTTGACAGTCGCCTTGTAGGTTTCATTGTCCTGTAGAGTGATGTAGCGGATGAGTGCCGGTTGGCATACATGTTGACATACCTCGCATGCCACTACATACAGGTTCAAGAGAGGTTTGTCAATAAGAGTAACAGGAACCTGAGATGTGTGCTCGTCGCGAAGAGAGTCAAGCGCAACCAGTGTAACCTCGAGCTCTTGGATCGTGCGTATGCTGGGTCGAGAGGCTGACTTCCAATGGATGCTCCGTAGGGGTAATTGGGACCGCAGTGCAGCGATAACTTGTTTGCAGCTATCAGGAGACTGGGAAGACGGGGGAGCAGCGAATGTCACGAGAACATGCTGGTTCGACATTCCGAGCAGGTCTCGCCTCGTCGTATGGAGCAGACACACTCACACGAAGCTTTACGTCGATTATTTGAACGAGTAGAAAGCCCTTGACTGGAGTATACGGTTATGTTTGAAGAACAGCTTGAAGGTCACCCATACAAGGGTAATCAGTACTTCCTAAGTCACGGTCGTGGAAAAATATCTTTGCAAGTTGTCTACTAGCTAACTTGCATCGCAGAAGGACCATCCTATCACTGGAGAGCTCGTGTCAAGCAAGTATCTCGCAAGCCGGATTTATTCTGAAAGCACCAAATGCCAGAACCAGAAGAAGCTAGCACGTCCACTCCAGCACCAAAGACCTTCAGGGACCTTGGTCTGATCGAACCTCTCCTGCAGGCACTCGACCAAATAAACTTCAAGACACCTACAGAAATCCAACAACAAGCTCTTCCTCATGCCCTCGAGGGCCGCGACATTATCGGTGTCGCGGAGACGGGATCAGGAAAAACTGCTGCATTCGCTCTGCCTATCCTACAAAAATTATGGGAGGAGCCAAAAGGACTCTTCGCATGCGTGCTCGCGCCCACACGTGAACTCGCATACCAAATATCCCAACAGTTCGAGTCTCTGGGTGCAGCGATGGGTGTTCGATGTCTGGTACTCATTGGTGGGATGGACAAGATGCCCCAGGCGGTCGCCCTCGCGAAGCGGCCTCATGTAATTGTCGCGACCCCGGGTCGTCTCAATGACCACCTCCAGAGCACAAAAGGATTTAGTCTAAGGAATCTGAAATTTCTGGTATGTCTTACGCTCTTCGAAACAGCGTGGATCTCCTTGCTGATCTCCGCAGGTAATGGACGAGGCCGATCGCCTGCTGGATATGGACTTCGGTGCTGACATTGACCAAATCCTGAAAGTGATCCCCAAAGAGCGGACTACCTACCTCTTCTCCGCGACGATGACGACAAAAGTCGCCAAACTTCAAAGAGCTAGTTTATCAAATCCCGTACGAGTCGAGGTGTCGTCAAAGTGAGTAGCCCGGCTGTACTTCTGCGAGTTACACTGACGTGAGACCTCCAGATATCAAACAGTGTCAACTCTACTTCAATATTATCTCTTTGTACCATTAATACACAAAGACCTCCACCTGATATATCTTGCAAATGAATTGGCCTCAAATTCCATCATGGTATTCACCCGGACGGTGCACGATGCTCAGAGGCATGTACAAAGCGACCCAAATCCCAGTTTTAGCTCATGCAGAGCTGTAGGTTGTCCATCATCCTCCGTACCCTCGGATTCCCAGCCATTCCACTTCACGGCCAGCTTAGTCAAAGTCAGCGATTGGGCGCACTCAATAAATTCAAAACTGGTGGTCGGAAGGTTCTAGTGGCGACTGACATTGCCAGTCGGTATGTGAGATGTATTTTACTCCTTCACCACTGACCATTCGAAACAGAGGCCTTGACATACCCTCTGTGGACGTAGTGATCAATTTTGACATTCCGACCCATTCAAAAGACTATATCCATCGTGTTGGACGTACAGCCCGTGCAGGACGTGCCGGAAAGTCAATAACGATAGTTACACAATACGACGTCGAACTGTTGCAACGAATAGAAAAGGTTATCGACAAGAAGCTCGAGTTATTTCCTACTAGTAAGGAGGAAGTGATGCTTCTCAAGGAGCGTGTCGATGAGGCCGGTCGACTGGCTGTGAATGAGCTGAAAGAGGAGGCAAAATCTGGTGGGAGTAAAAGGCGGAGAAGAGACGAGGGAGGGAGAGATGATCGGGATCGGGATGATGACGTCGTCGAGGCTGGAATGCCTAGGAATAAAAAACCAAAGGGTCGTAGATAGCTCCATGGGTCTTTTGAATACGACATGGGATACACCATATGGATACGAAGGACAACGTCTAAATCAATTGATGAACATGAGGTCGGAGCGTAGAATATATTTCGTTCCTTTGCGAACAAGAGAGCCCTCGTGCAGCAGGCACTCATTGCCGTGCCTGAGTTCGATGAGGGCTTGGGTCACACATAAGCAATGGGGAGGACGAACCGATGGAGCAGTGCAGTACCGCGAGCAAGGGGTGCCACAATGGTTTCACGAGGCATCCCCCTCTCCTGTTTGTAGAAGAGCGTCTAACAGGGGATCAAATAAGACGCTTAGTATACGTACATGTGACGCTTACCTCCCCTCCTTCGACACCGTCCTCGACACCACTCAGATAAATCAAGAGCGTCCACTCCGACTTGGCGCCTGTTGCAAGATCCTTCACAGAATCATCATAGTGAGGACCAAAGTGTTGGAACGGGATATACTTGTACATGCGAATGTTCGAATTGCACGAGTGGGGCAACCGCGGCTGAACACTCTGGGCCGGTCGTCTGACCGAGAGTGGATAGGGAAATGACGGGAGGTGCGGCAACAACAAGGAGTGCAGCTTCTCAGCAAATATTGCAGAATTCACCGAAAACCTGTCTGTGCAACCGTAGAATCACATAATAGACTCCCATCACCGCCGCAAGGCACAGATCGTGCTCACAGTTTACTCTCTCGGCCTCGCCCTTCTTCTTCGGGGGCGTAAGTTCAAGTGGCAGCTCATCGATGAACTTGGCAAAATGCTTGCACTCCTCAGGAGATAGAAATTCCTATCCAGACCTTGAGGACAGATATTCAACTAGTGCAGGAAGACGAACGTCAATCAGTATGATCTGGTCTTCAAGGAGCACATGGCAATCAAGGAAATCCTTGGGTGATATGTCTGGAAAAGAGACGCTTCGAGACGCTGCACCTGGTTTGGGCGCTGAATGAGAAGCTGCCGCCCCAGAGCTTTTGGTCTTCTTGGGCATCACTATGAGGCTGGGCCGCTGAACGTTCGAAGCAGAGACATATTCCTTCGAGTGATCTATTGGTCATTTTATACCCCTTGTCTTCTCAATTAAGTACGTGCCCCATGGCTGAGTTGGTTACAGCGTCCGACTGTTACTCAATAAACATCGGAAGGTCGTGAGTTCGAGCCTCACTGGGGCAGATCTTTTTTTTGTTTTTTGTTTTTGACATGGACCTGTTAAGGCCGAAATCAAATATGCAGATTGTACAATATTAATATTACATAACGTCGATCGGCCGTCATATTCCGTGCCTGGTCAAGGAATTTTGTACGTTTTCCCAGGACCCATACACTGATGGTCGGATTGCCTCATTCTGACTCATTCACATATCAGTCTGTCAATCAGAGTAATGCTGAGGTCCAACTCACCAGATATCACTTATCACCCAACTCTTCGTTCTCATGTCCAACCGAGTCACTAACTTTGGCGCGGGGCCTTCGGCTCTGCCAGAGGAAATCCTCATAGAGGCGGGCAAAGGCCTCCTCAACTTCCAAAACACGGGTATCGGAATCGCAGAGATATCGCATCGTTCCCCAGAATTTGACAAGTTCATCCGGGAAGTCGAGGAAAACATGAGGATTCTTTTACAGATTCCTCAGGGCTATAAAGTTCTCTTCACCCAGGGAGGAGGCACTGCTCAGTTTTCTGCGGTCGTGATGAACATGCTCGCAAAGTATCGAAGTCGCGAGGGCATCGCCTCTGACCAGCCGACAATGGATTATGTGGTGACGGGGACTTGGAGTGAAAAGGCGATGGAAGAGGCAAAAAGGCTTGGAGGTGGGACCGTTAACGTCGTCGTCAATGCGCAAACCACATCTGTGGACGGGAAGAAGATTTTCAACCACATCCCCAATCGCGACAGCTACAAAGAAAATTTTTCGCAGGACCCAGCACTCATTTACTACTGTGCCAACGAGACCATTGATGGCGTCGAATTTAACGACGACTTAAATAGCCCCTATTCATTCCCTTTCAACGCCATCCCAGAGAAAGCCCCTCTCGTCGCCGATTATTCATCTTCGTTCATGTCGCGTCCCATCCCCTGCATTGAAAAACATGCAGTGATTTATGCGGGCGCACAGAAAAATATCGGACCAGCCGGTTTGACGGTTATCATCGTCAGGGACGAATGGGCCAACGTGATGGACAGCAGTATCCCCCTGTATCTGTCATACAAAACTTTGGTTGACAGTCGCAGTTTACACAACACCCCGCCTGTCCTGTCGATATATATCACGGGCCTCGTACTCAAGCGAATGTTGGAAGTCGGGGAACAGCACGGAAAGGGAAAGGAACAAGCGCTGGTACATTACGCTGAGTGCACATACAAGAAAGCCTCCAAAGTATATGCAGCCATAGAGGAAGGAGAAGCCCGAGGGATCTTCAAGGGTAAGGTTCTGGAGGGTTCGGGCAGCAAGATGAATGTCGTGTTCGACGTAGTTGGCGGAGAGGAAAAGCTGAAAGAATTTGTATCTGGTGCTGACAGGAGGGGAATGAAGGGGATCAAGGGTCATCGGTGAGTAACTTTCTTTGCTCCACGTGCCCTGCTCAGCGATGTGGCATCCCAGGTCGGTTGGAGGTAAGTTGTTCGCTCTCAGCCTGAATCACGAGCTCGCTGACAACAAAGCAGGTATCCGTATTTCCCTTTACAACGCGGTTACGGAAGATAAAGTGGATAACCTGATTCAGTACATGAAGGAGTTTGCATAGGAAACTGGGAAACTTTATGTTACGGTGGAGAAGAGATGTTTCTACATCTCCTCTCGAGTTTGTCTAGGGAAGACCGTTTGTTTATAGCGCTTCACTGGTGCACAAATGAGTGTACTCTGACTCTGATTCAACTCAGGGGCAGAAGTCACATAGTGTTGGTGATATGGTTGACATAAGCAGTTATGAGCTGGCAGTCAAGTCACTTTGCCGGAGTGGTTAACGGGATCGCCTGCTAACAGCCAAGCGGTTGGGCTTTGCCCGCGAGTGTTCGAATCGCTCAGGTGACGCTTTTTTTGCACGTTTACTATTATTATCTGTTAACCTTCTGTATTTTCCCTGAGGCAGAGCAGTATCAATATGAAGACTTCAAAGCTTGAATATAGGACGCGTTTTTTTGATATCTGAGACGGACAATACAAACGTACAACCTATGACTTGGCAAAGTTCGATGAAAGATGATGACAGTGTCCATTCGTCATTGGTCGTCCATGCCCCATGGCTGAGTTGGTTACAGCGTCCGACTGTTACTCTTGAACATCGGAAGGTCGTGAGTTCGAGCCTCACTGGGGCAGTTTACTTTTTCTCGACAACAAGATCAGAGTGATGCAAGTCTTTGGGCGGCGCTGCGTACAGCTCAGATCCAAGTCAGCTTCGCTTCGTAGTAAACCAAACATGAAGTACTCCCGATCGTGTTTCATTTTATCATCTTGAGCTCTAATCTCTCCCTTACGTGAATTCATCTACACAATTAGTGTGAGAATTAGCCGATTCCCATCGAAGGAAGACAGTCGATCCTTTCTTACTGGGCCCTGATATTAAATAAAGCGGGAAACACCTATACATCTCTGCATGGTCACGCCTAGTCTGGTAACCAAACCGTACTATGAGGCAAGCCGTCGATAGACGTGAGGGATAACTAATCGGTCATAACACTAGAAAAACGAGGATGATTCAGTGGATCCAGGTCGCACCGCCGCGGTGCGGTCCTTCACGAACCGTGCCCATTTCTCGGTGTAGAGCTTTCGAGCTTGGTCTGGGGTGAGGCCATCCCAGACGCCAGGATTTCTGAGGGACCATGGGTTTGTGTCAACCTCTAACATTACATGGTAATTTCTTATCATATGTTATTCCATTCATCAAGAAATCGTGACTTAATAATCCGCTGTGATAATAGTAAACATATGTCGAATGTAGCCAATAGTTCCAATGTCCATATACGTACGTAGTGTCCATGGCAAATAGATAAATCACATCAATAGTCCGTCTCTGGCACGAAGCCGTCTTTGCGCATCATGCGCTTTCCCCGTTGTTCCTTTCACTCTCTCCTTCTCTCCAGATATCTTCAAGGGGACTCGGGTCGGGCCTGGGCACACCGCCGTCTATAAGGTCAACCTGTTCGCCCTCGACGCTGTGCCGGTCCTGGACGGTGGTAGGTAGAACAGGCTCGTCACGCGGAACACGTGGGGAATAGGGGCGATGCGACATTGGAGATGCAAGCGAAGGGAAGTATTGACGATAGGCGAAGTACGCGATTGCAAAGCCTAAAATGGCACCAGCGATGACATCTTGCCAATGGTCTGGAAAAGTCGGTGTTAGTCATACAGTATCGGCGGGTTCCATAACACATACGCCTATAGTCCATAGTGCGTGAAATAGCCACGAGAGTCGCTGCAAACAAGGGGGTTACGGAAATCCAAGACTTGTGCTGATACGGCAGAACATGGTGGTGAGCAGAAAATGATTGAGAAGCTGTTGGCATGCTTACCGCATGACCTCTGGTATCGAAGAGGTGCATCTTCCCCGCAAGATAGAGAGACAAGAATCCGAGGCCCGCAAAAGATACTATGATTAATTAGTGTCAGGGTTGTACATTAAAAATGATAGTTGGAAATGTACGGCTTGAGTGGCCACTGGGAAAGCTTCGCCAGCCATCAATCATGATTGCCTCATTAGTCTGCGTACAGATGGCGTCAGTCGATAATCCATAAGTTGGATCTTGAGATCCTGGGATTGGTATGCAGCGAGAAAGCAGGTCTAAGAATTACACCCGTTAATGGTTGTCATTTGGCACTGCATAACAATCAACCTGCCTGGACGAGGACGACCAACGGTGATCTTGGTGAATTGCGTGATAGCGCCCGTAATAACCAGACCGAGGATCACTGAGGCAAATCTGACGCTCAGTAGATGTGATAGTAAAGAAGTCAAAATGACGAACATCCAAGCGCACTATTGTGGTAGTCCCAGAAAGAGCGAACAGTGATCAAATTAACTGCAAGCTGGATGACTAGAGGAGCCACGACAGCGATAAAGTACAGGGCGACATCCTACCAGGACAGAATTGTTCAAAAATCGTCGAGGTCAACACCAAAGATGGAACATACCGGCACGCGCTCTTTAACGGCATAACTGCATTTCTGCTGTCAGTGCTGATATCAACTCCCAATCAACCATGATACTCACGGAAAACGGATCCTACGGAGAAGAATTGTCACTCGAGATTACCAATCTCCGTGGTGTAGAGATTACTTACGTTTCATCGTTGACCGAAAATTCTCTTCTGAATCCATGGACGGCATTGAGAGCAAAGAACAAAATTCTGCAAGAAGGGTGAGACACCGTCGCTGGCGTATACGGGGGAAGGCACGCACGCCAAGAGGATTGTGATGATCCTGGCGAAGAAATGAGGATCTGGTAATCATTCTATGCATCCACGCACCAGTCCGGAGCATAGGACTTGAGGAGCTTGATACGCCTCTTGTTGTCAGTCCTCTTTGTCGTGACATTGCCAGGCGACTTTGCAGTTCTCGAGAACTTGTTCGTTGGCAACATCGGAAAATTCTCTGTTCAGTCTGGTTCTTGTCGTCAGAAAATCTATGCGATGAAAACAAATGACCTTGTGGTTGGGGAACGAGAGCCATATAAGACGGACTGAGTGCAGGAGTATATAGTGGGTTCCTATTATATATTTCGGATCAACTAATTTTGCTATTACTCAATATTTGACAAGAACTTCGCACAGCCGTGCACGCTACTGCGCACGCCCCAACGTTGAGGCAGTCGTCTTTCAATTTCGGTATCGTAGGGTAAGAATAACTGTCCAGTGCATGGCAATGTCGCGAGGCGAACCGCGAGACACGGTTTACGTATATAAGCTAAACAGAGCTCTTGTGATTCGCTTGGGAGATATCCTCTTGAGTCTTGATAGCTCCCGACGGTCAGCACTGCCCCTCACTGCCCTCTGTCGATCATCCTGTTCACCACAAGTCGATGCCACATTTTGTGGCCCCCATAGTCTGACATGACATCCGCGGTTGAGAGTCCTCATGGCCTCTCCAAAGACTTTCAATGGAACCCAGGTAGAGAGTAGTATTATTTGCAACCATTATCCACTCACATGTGGACAAACAGATTATCAACGCGTCTTGGA